AAGCGAGTCTCCTGCCTCAGCCTCCCAAGTAGCTGGGACCACAGGCGCCCGCCACAACACCCGGCTATTTTTTGGTTGCAGCCATCGTTGTTTGGCGGGCCTGGGCTGGGGATTCAAACCCACCACCTTAGGTGTATGTGGCTGGCGCCTTAGCCACTTGAGCCACAGGCGCCAAGCCAGATCAGTGGTTCTTAACCTGTGTGTCACTCAACTCATTGTAACAATGAAAATACATCCTGTATATCAAATATTTGCATTACAGTTCATAATAGTAGCAAAATTATAGTTATGAAGTAGCAACAAAAATAATTTTATGGTTGGGGGTCACCACAATATGAGGAACTGTATTAAAGGGTTGCAGCACTAGGAGGCATTAGGAAGGCTGAGAACCACTGCCATAGATCTTCCCCATCCATATGACCCCAAAGTGTGGCATACTTAAGGTGACCAGACATCCTGCTTTTGGCGGGACAGTCCCGCTTTTCAACAGTTTGTCCCGCGTCCCATGGCATTTTTAAAAAGTCCCGATTTTTGGAAAGAATGCACGAACAGGTGGGAGAACAAGAAGGGAATATACGGTTTTCGGCTGCCATGTGGCTATTTCGCCACAACATGAGTTTTATATTATTTTTGTTAATTTTATAATCTTAAACTGTAATAATAAATAATTGCTGAGAAGTGATTATTGAGAACTGCTTATCAAAGTTTGCATTGTTGTGAGGTCCTGCCCTGCCCTGCCCCCCCCATGTTGTCCCACCTTGCGGATGTTAAAATCTGGTCACCCTAGGCATACTCCACATTGTCTTTGGATCCTGAATGCTGCTGCTCCTCCCAAAGAGATGGCCTCTAAAAGATTACCAAGAGAACTTAACCTTCCATAAAGTTACCTTGAAACACAAATTCATGTATATGTATAAATCTGTAAAATCTAACCAGAATATTAACCCTGTAGAAGGTCACATAATGGAATGCCAAAGCCATGAAGGAGGGCACTGTGTCATTATCAAAGGACCTGCAAAGGCTGGTTTAATTGGCGCCTCTAAGATGCAGACAGAACGAAGCTACAGGTCTGAACTAGGATCAGCCCAAGTGTCAGAGGCTTCTGAATTAAAAGATCTCAATCCTACTACATTAAGTTTAGACAGTCTTAATTCCAAAGGCAGCCTTACAGACATCTTCGTGGTGGGGGGCTGGGTGCAATGGCTCACACCTATAATCCTAGCACTCTGGGAGGCCCAGGCAGGTGGATTGCCTAAGCTCACAGGTTCAAGACCAGCCTGAGCCAGAGCAAGACCTTGTCTCTAAAAAATAGCCGGGCCTTGTGGCAGGCATTTGTAGTCCCAGCTACTCAGGAGGCTGAGGCAAGAGAATCGCTTGAACCCAACAGTTTGAGGTTGCTGTAAGCTATGACGCCATGGCACTCTACCCAGGACAACAAAATTAGAAAAAAAATTTAAAATATATATATAAATAGGGTGGCACCTGTAGCTCAAGGAATAGGGTGCCGGCCCCATATGTGGGAGTGGCAGGTTTAAACCCGGCCCCAGCCAAAAACTGCAACCAAATAAATAAATAAATAAATGATACTTTTCTTTGCTGATGGCTTATGCTAGTTTTAATTTTAAAAAATTCTTCAACAGAGGAAGAACAAACTCCTTCAATTTGAATTATGTACCTTCTTTCACCTCTGACTATATTTTGGCCATAGCTCTATAATAGTCTAGGTCAGTTTCCAATTTCAAATATTCCACCTCACTAATTGACACCACGTTATAGTGTTCAACAACCCACACCTCCCATATGGTGTCATATATCCCAAAGTGGTACAATAGTAAGATGTGTCTTAGGTTTGCATCATCATAAGGCCAGTTCTCCTTTGGGAAAATAATAAAATTCCTGGCTCAGACTTACCTAATTTAAGACTACAGCCATGTGTTACTTGATGAAAGAGATACTGAGAAATGTGTCATTAGGTCATTTAGTCATACTGACATAGGAACGTTTGTACACAAATCTAGATGGTATACCCTACAATACTACACACCTAGGCTATAGGTATAGACTACTGCTCCAAGGCTACAAACCTATACAGCATGTTTACTGAATATTATATACAACTATATTGTAATAGTGATAAGTGTGAATCTGAACATCTCTAAACTCAGAAAAGGTACAGCAAAATAATAGTATTATAATCTTAAGGGACCGCCACTGGATATGTGGTTTGTCCTTAACTGAATCCTGTTATGTAGCACATAACTATTTGGAAGGCAACTTGACCAAATTTACTTATTTGCCATACTTATCTGTTTATTTAGACAGTGTCTTGCCATGTTGCCCAGGCTGGAGTGCAGTGGCTATTTACACAAGTGATCACAGTGCATCTATCTACCACAAACTTCTGAGCTCAAGCAATCCTCCTGCCTCAGACTCCCAAGTAGCTAGGACTACCGGTTCACACTATTAATGCCCAGCTTCCCTCTGCTTTTAATAATTCCTTTCTTCAAGGAAGAAAATTAAATGTAAAGAAAGCTCTTCAAAACAACTCTTCCAGCATTTTAGAATCACTCATATACAAGTATTAATTACAAAAGTCCTAGCACGTTATTCAATCAGGATGCCCAAGGACACTGGAACAATATTCTTTTTTTTTTTTTTTGAGACAGAGCTTCAAGCTGTCACCCTGGGTAGAGTGCTGTGGCATCATAGCTCACAGCAACCTCCAACTCCTGGGCTCAAGCGAGTCTCTTGCCTCAGCCTCTCAAGTAGCTGGGACCATAGCCGCCCACCACAACACCCGGCTATTTTTTGGTTGCAGCCATCATTGTTGTCAGGCCCAGGCTGGATTCGAACCTGCCACCTTAGGTGTACTGAGCCACAGGCGCCGAGCCAGGAACAATATTCTATGTACAATTAGTAAATAATTACATTTTTTTCCACTAATAGATGCCTCTTTCATTATCTAAATTAGAACAATTTTACTGTTGTAGCCAGGCAACTAAACATTAAGATAACTTTTACTCCTGATTGTTTCACAACCACTTGTATAAATAATCCTGCAAACATGTATATGCTACTTTAGTGTTTAACTACATAAGATAGAAAAACTGAAATTACTAAGGCCAAGAGATCGAAAGCTATTTTTGGATGCCTCAGCAGACTACTCTGGAGACACCTAGCACCAAGCACTCAAGAGTGCAGAGTTCAGCGGGGCATAGATCATCTGGAATGTGACTTCTAGTTTACCTGAAACCATCAAGCATTAATGGCCCCACCATATATAGCCAAGAGTAAGTGTGCCAAACCCTGGGTATAATTAACTACTCCCTCATACCTGTGCCAGCACTCCAGATCTGGAGGTCCGGTCCCCATCCATAAGCTCTCCCTGAAATGAAGACACAGTAGCAGAGGGGGCTGTATAGTTTGAAAAATATGAACGTGTAAAAAGGCTAGAAGTCTGGGACCTTGGAGAATTCAGACTACTTGTGTCCATGTTGTCCTCAGAGCCTAGTCCATGATGGCACAGTACAAGATCTACCAAGTCTTCTTTCTCTCGACAAGTATCTATGGGTATGTTTCGAAGAATGAGATACTGCCGTAGATCTTTCACCTTCAGTCGCATTAACTGAGGCCGCTGAAAGGCTGTCTCTTGTAGTAAGTGACAAGTGGAACATCTACGGAGATTCTCTTGTAAGACTGAACAAACGGAGCAAAAATCTTTCTTGCAATCACAACAAACATGCTGAAGAAAGAGAAAAGCAGCATTTAATGATAGCAAAATATAAGCAATTATGAAAACACTGGTTTTCTTTTTGCCTTCTATAAATTTAATTTTAGTTCTTATGAAGTATCCCCTAGCACCAGACTATTTTCACAGGCATTTTAGTGTTCCAAAAGACATGAAAATCAAAATAGTCATTGCCAAAGCAGTTTAGATTTACAGAAGTTTGAATATAGCACTTTAAGAAAAACATACTCTTATATTAATGAATTAAAACCTTTCCACCCCTTGGTACAAACATGTAATTAGCAGAGCAGAGCTTACTTGAACCGCATGAAGCAGAAAGTGTAACACAAACTCTTTTCCTAACAATCGCCATTTCCCACATTTAAAGAAAAAAATTATTAACAGAGAAGGAAAGAGAAAAGGAGAGAAAAGGAATGACCTCTCAAGGTCAATCCAAGAAAACAAGAGGACCCACTAATACAGTACAGCCTTAATCACAATCAAAGCCATTCCACTGAAGAAGTTTAAAGAGGACACTAAGATTAGTTATTCCTGCTTGGTGCATTATTTCCACAAGCTAACATTTTTTTCCCTAAAATATTTCAAAGGACTAAATTGATCAAAGAATGCAAGGAGGCCTAACAATATAATGGTTCTCAGAACAACTTTCTATCCTAATGGAAATAACTTTTAGCCTAAGTTTTATTCTTTTTTTTTTTTTTTGAGACAGAGTCTCACTTTGTCACCCTCAGTAGAGTGCTGTAGCATCACAGCTCACAGTAACCACCAACTCTTGGGCTTAGGCGATTCTCTTGCCTCAGCCTCCTGAGTAGCTGGGACCACAGGTGCCCACCACAATGCCCAGCTATTTTTTGTTGCAGTTGTCACCGCTGTTTTAGCTGGCTGGGGCCAGGTTCGAACCCACCACCCTCAGTATATGAGGCCAGTGCCCTACCCACTGAGCCACAGGCACCGCCCCTAGCCTAAGTTTTTTATGTTGAATCTCTAAACAATAGTTATCTTTTTATATTCATTTCTTCATTTGAGAAAAATATGGTTAAGGAAGAATTTTTGAAACAAGATCACAGTTACAGTAAATAATTTCCAAACGAAATTTCAGACTTAAGGTTTCTTACTTCAAGAAAAAGCATCATGAAAAATGAAGTGGTACAAATAGGTCAGAGTTCAAAAGAAAGGATGCCTGAACAACATGAAAAATAGCAATGTTTAATCAGAAATCTCAAGGACTAATATAATCCCATCAATTAAGTTTTTTCTAAATGGTTAATGGGCTGAAACTTTTGATGTTTTCATAAGACATGAAGATTCATTAACTATTCAAAATAAACTTGCAATCAAGAATTCTAATCCTTGGGACAGAGCCTGTGGCTCAAAGGAGTAGGGCATTGGCCCCATATGCCAGAGGTGGCAGGTTCAAACCCAGCCCTGGCCAAAAACTCCAAAAAAAAAAAAAAAGAATTCTAATCCTTGTGTCTTGTTATGTAGCATTTCAGCATCTCATCCAACTCACCTTCTTTCTAAAGACTGAAAATGAAAGTCCACAGGCTTTGCAAACTATATTAGACCCTTCTGTAGCTGCTGGTGGGAAGGTGGAAAAATCAGGATTTGGTGTAAATCTGAATGGACCAGTGGCTCCTGCAAATCCTGACTGCTGGCCCCTGACAGCTCCGGTTCCCATGACTTCATTCAGCAGCCCACAGCACGAAGCCCACATAGATGTGGCACCGGCCTAAAAAAGAACACAAGTGCCACAGTTTAAAACTACAGTGTAATCTGGGCTCCCTGGGATCCTCAGAGAATGTTATTCTGAAGAGGTAAGTTTTCCCTAATAACTTTGAGATTACTGTATTCCTTTGGGCACCAAAATTTCAAGCTATTTGGAAATAAATAATTTTCTTGTATTTCTTTTTTTTTTTTTTTTTGATACAGAGCCTCAAGCTGTCCCCCTGGGCAGAGTGCTGTGGCATTACAGCTCACAGCAACCTCCAACTCCTGGGCTCAAGCGAGTCTCCTGCCTCCGCCTCCCAAGTAGCTGGGACCACAGGCGCCCACCACAACGCCTGGCTATTTTTTGGTTGCAGCCGTCATTGTTGTTTGGTGGGTCCGGGCTGGGGATTCGAACCCGCCACCTTAGGTGTACGTGGCTGGCGCCTTAGCCGGTTGAGCTATAGGCGCCGAGCCAATTTTCTTGTATTTCAAAAAAATATCTGGCATTGGAGATACTAATGGTATCTTCTTCACTTGATTTTAGCCAGAAGGTCAAGAAACGATATAGTATCTTCTTAGATAAAAGCAAAAAACACAACATAACCTAAATATTGTAAAAAAAACAAACAAACAAACAAAAAACATTCCCACCCAAACATAAATACATGTGCATGTGCACAGGAACAAAAAAAACTAAACTGAAGTTATATCCTGTCTTGTATCCTGAGATGTGTTCATACTAAAAAACTGTTCACTTTTCAACTGGCGCTATAGAGTTCCATAGGATGAGGCAGATTTTTTCAGCTACTATTTAGCAGAAAATACATAAATTCAAATTATTTAATTTCATTAAATGTTCTGTTTGTAGTTGGTTATAATATACTATGGCATATATAATTTATTTTTAAAATATGAATGGGAAAACATTAAAACACCAACTGAAATGCTCTAGATTTTAACGTATCATGTATAATTTTATTTCCTTTAAATTTTTCTCTGCTTTCCAAATTCTTCATAAAGACTGTAATAAATTTGATATTTAAAAAAGTACTTCTTAAACAGGATCTAATCTACCTTTTCAAACTAAAAATACTAAACATAATTTTCAATGTCCTAATAACCAGGATGACATATTCCAGGGTATAAGGGTTATCTGCCACTCCACTAAATGGCCCAGATTTAATGTATTGCTTTTTATGGATTTTTTTCCCCTGTCTTTTCCTCTGTATAAGTCACTACAGCTCTCACTACAACCTACCTGTAGTAACCTGTCTCCTTTTTTATTACAGTTTCAGAACTCTGATAACCATACTTTGTTAGAAATTATGTATAAAAGAACAAATTTTCAGTGAGGGCCAAAAGTATTTTTCTATGCTTAAAGTATGCCTCTTGTCTTTATTCTTAAGCATGTTCTAGAATACAGATAATGGGATAAGTAATGGAAATCTAGATAGCTGATTTTGTTATTTAAAATGGCAGCACATAACACAGTTCCATTTATTATATTATCTGACTCTATGAAACATTTACTGTTTGTTGGACAAGCTCTTTAAAAAAAAGCACCTTAAAAGGTAATTGGAAATGCAATAAAAAGATAACACTATTCTTGCTGCTACCTAGAAGTAGTATGTTATATTATAGGAAAAGAAGGTAAAGCAATTAAAAAAACACAGTATTAAGTATCAAGATCACAGATGTATTACATAGTTTCATATAGTACAATTCAAGAAATCATGATCCCTTTAGAAGGTAAAATTAACAGTTCATAGATTTATTTTTTGTTTTGTTTTGTTTTTATTTTTTGGAGACAAGAGTCTCATGTCGCCCTTGGTAGAGTACTATAGCATCAGAGCTCACAGCAACCTCAAACTCTTCGGCTCAAGTGATTCTCTTGCCTCAGCCTCCCAAGTAGCAGCGACTACAGGCGCTGGTCACACCACCCGGCTATTTTTAGAGATGCGGTTTTGCTCTTGCTTAGGCTGGTCTCAAACTGCTGAGCTCAAGCGATCCACCCACCTCGGTCCCCTAGAGTGCTAGGATTACAGGAGTGAGGCACCGCGCCCAACCTAACAGTTCATACCTTTAAATCATTAAATACCTTGGAGTCTAAAGTCATGGTTTGCTTAATCATAAAAGCATGAAAATCCAGATTTCCTAACAATTAATCCACTGATTGTTCTTTTCAGTGAAAGAGACAGCCGCAGTTCTTTCAAGTAAACTCTCTTAAAACAACTAAAAATATTTTGAATTCAATTTGCATGTAACTTTGAGGGACTACCTCAACTGCATAAGGTAACACTAGGATAACTTTTCCTTCATTCCAGGAGTTTATAAGTTCCTGAGTAGAAACTTCTATAGCACCGAGCTCCACCATCATATGAGTGTCAAATGTGTGAAAGGTTTCTATCTATTAACCTCTTCACAGTCAACGTAACATTAAACTTTACATGCTACTTAGAAAGTTCAAATTGTGTTTTCTTGGGAAACAAAAATTAAGGTGAAATTCTGGGGCCAGTACAGCAGTTCATACCTATAATCCCAGCACCTTGGGAGGTCTAGGTGGGAGGACTGCTTGAGACCAGCTTGTGCAACAAAATGAGACCCTTATCTCTGCAAAAAGTTAAAAAAATTATCAGGGCATGGTGATGCACCTGTTGTTTTAGCTACTCTGGAGGCTGAGGCAAAAGATTGATAGAGCTCAGGAGCTGGAAGTTATAGTGAGCTATGATCAGCACCACTGCACTCTCTTCCTGGGCAAAAGAGCAAAGACCCCATCCCTACGAAAAATAAAAATAATAGTAATTTTTTTAAATGAGAGATTGATTTGGGGTCAGGCCCAGTAGTTCACACGTGTAATCCCAGGAGGTCAAGGTGGATGGGTGGCTTGAGCTCAGGAGTTTGAGACCTGCAGAGCAAGACCTCATCTCTACTAAAAATACAAAAATTAGCAAGGCATTGTAGCAGGCACCTGTAGTCCCAGCTACTCAGGAGGCTGAGACAAAGAAGATCACCTGAGCCCAGGAGTTTGAGGTTGCTGTAAGCTATGATGCCATGGATCTCTACCCATAGCGACAGAGTGAGACTCTATCTCACCTCCCCCTCCCCCCAAAAAAACAAAGACTCTGACCTAGCAGGCCAAAAATCTCAAGTGATACTCTTTTTTATTTTTTTGAGACAAAGCCTCAAGCTGTCCCCCTGGGTAGAGTGCTGTGACATCACAGCTCACAGCAACCTCCAACTCCTGGGCTCAAGCGAGTCTCCTGCCTCAGCCTCCCACAGGTGCCCACCACAACGCCCAGCTATTTTTTGGTTGCAGTCGTCATTGTTGTTTGGCGGGCCCGGGCTGGATTCAAACCTGCCATAGGTGTACCTGGCTGGCGCTTTAGCTACTTGAGCCACAGGCATCGAGTCTTGATACTCTCTATTAAAAGCAGTACAGGCTCACTGCCCCTAGCACAGCGATTACGATGCCGGCCACATGCACCGAGGCTGGTGGGTTCAAACCAGTCCCGAACCAGCTAAACAATAATGACAATTGCAACAAAAAAGTAGCCAGGCATTATGGCGGGGGCCTGTAGTCCCAGCTGCTTGGGAGGCTGAGGCAAGAGAATCACTTAAATCCAAGAGTTTGAGGTTGCCGTGAGCTGTGACGCCATGGCACTTGACTGAGGGCGACACAGTCAGACTCTCTCTCAAAAAAATAAAAATAAATAAATAAAAACAGCACAGCCACAGGTTCTGTCCTTGCTACCAGAAAGTTGTACAATAAATTAAGGAAGGATATAATTTTTAAAACCATGTAAATGAGTATGAGCATTAAAATTTTACAGGGGAAAATAGCTCTTGTGAAAGGAATACAGGGATTTATTTTAGGAAAACAGGTGGAATCTCTGCATAGATAGCAATATTGGAAGGGACAATTCATCCCATTCCTCATGTGTCTTCAATCCTCAGGAGAAAAATGACATAAAACTTCTATCCTCTTTCAGCCATCTCATTATAAAATTAAAAAAAAAAAAAAAAAGAAGAAGAAGAAGCCTAAGCCAACACCCAAAGGATCCCAAGCAAATGTTGCTATAATCCATTATTTGGAACAACTTAGACCCATATTACTATTGTCAGCCAAATACCACAGCATAAGGAAAAAAGAAACACTGAAGTTTTTAGGTTATAGCCTCTTAGGATCTATAAACTTAAATTTGAACAAAATTTTCCAATGAGAGAATATTCTTAGCATTATGTTCAAAGGACAAATCCTCTTATGCCTGGTTATCCTCTCTGAGAGCAGTATTCCCAACATTACAACTTCTTGAAAGTTCAGAAATTTTAAATAGGCTCAGTGCCCATAGCACAGTGGTTACGGCGCCAACCACATACACCAAGGGAGCCAGGTTTGAACCTGGCCCAGGCCCACTAAACAACAATAACAACTGCAATAAAAAATAGCCAGGCGTTGTGGTGGGCGTCTGTAGTCCCAGCTACTTGGGAGGCTGAGAATCACTTAAGCCCAAGAGTTTGAGGTTGCTGTGAGTTGTGACACCACCACACTCTATCAAGGGCGACATAGTGAGACTCTGTCTCAAAAATAAAAAAGAAATCTTAAATAGAGGGAACCCAGGTAATTTAGTTTATTTGAAGTACCTTTCTTTCTCATCTATTTGAAAAAATCAATTTCCACTTCTTGAAGCTCTATGTTTTCTGGCACCCCAGTGCTAAAATGTAGGTAACTTCTTTAATGATTCCAACTCCACTGGCTCGGTGCCTGTGGCTCAAGTGGTTAAGGCGCCAGCCACATACACCTAGGGTGGCGGATTCGAATCCAGCCCAGGCCTGCCAAACAACAATGATGCTGCAACCAAAAAAAAAAAAAAATAGCCAGGCGTTGTGGCGGGTGCCTGTGGTCCCAGCTACTTGGGAGGCAGAGGCAGGAGATGCGCTTGAACCCAGGAGTTGGAGGTTGCTGTGAGCTGTGATGCCACAGCACTCTACCCAGGGGGGACAGCTTGAGGCTCTGTCTCAAAA